AAGGGAAGTAGGACAAGTTACTGGATTAAACAATGAGAACAAGGAATGGACAGTAGATTCGATTGAAACTCACGCAGGACAAGGGACTACTGCTTTGTTCAAAGTACTATGGAAGTCTGGAGATCACACATGGCTACCCTATGATAAAATTGCACACCTTGAGGTATTAAAGGAATACTTAGACATACTTGGAATCGATTCTATTGATGTACTAACTCTAGGAAAGGGAAAACTCAATACTGATGACCCTCAGGTTAGTATCAGTCTAGTAAAACATGAGGCAACCTTTCAAACACAATGCTACAGCATGGACATACAGGTAGACATATGTAAAGGCTTTAAAAACTGTGCATATAGTCACTTTACTGTGCATATCATGTCTACTACTCAAGAATCCATTGCTCATACATTTGCATCTGCTTTTCTACAAGGCACAAATATGCCTCATCCTCCTCTACAACTCTTAGTTGGCCCTTGAGCACAACCAATCATGCAGGATTGGGTTACTCACAACCACAGTACAAGCACTGACTACATTTTCGATTGAGAGGAGCTCAAGGAGATTGCAGCTTTCTCCAGGGCTATCCACAACAATTCCCTTGACCCCACTATGCAACTCCCAGAGTGTTATCTCATTGTATTACACTTGTATAACTTCCACGTTCCTTCTCATACGAGACTGAGCCCACTACCACTGTTCCAAGACTGTGTTCAACATGCTAAGATGATGCAAGTGTCCCAGGACTTCGTATACTGTAAGAACATAGCTTCGAACCAAGGTAAATGTGCATATATTCTGCATTATATTATTACAAGTGCATATACCTTACTGTTTTACTTAGGTGCAAAGCATAGAGCTGAGCAAATCAACAATGGAACTGCTATATTCCACTCACACAACCACAAACGTCCTTGGATTGATTTGCAATTGCCCTCAACGTCCACCAATCTTACTTCAGTACTCAATATGAGTGCTCTGAGCTCATTCAACACTCAAGGCATTACTCTACTGCCGAATCTGCTGCTTTCTGCTCAATCCGACAGCCATTCTGACCAATCTGCTGCAAGTTCCACCAGTTCTGCTACAGAACATGTCCAAGCCAGACAGGAACACGTCCAGTCCACTACAGGACTGATCGAAGACACATCCATGGCTGCAGAGAACGTCCTAGCACAGCAGTACTGAACTTTGTAGTAAGTTACTAATGTTTTTCTTTTGTTTTTGTGTTGTTATTTCGTTTATTCTGGTACTAACTCCCTTAGCATTTAGGACTAAATGCTGGAGGGTGAGTGTAACGATTGTACTACCTGTGCATTTGCACAACATGTGTTGTAGGTGCTTGTGGGTGTTTTCCTTTTTGTTCACTAGACTACCCTGTATCCTACTACACGTGTATACACATATATAAAGGGTTTTCGAGCTAAGGGTTAGGGGATTCTTTCTCCTTCTCAGTGCTCGATTACTAGGTTATCCCAGTCAGTAGTTGAGTGTGCTAGTAAAGAGAGAATCTTCGCATAAGGCTAGTATACCTATCCTTACAATGTTCTATAAGGTACAATTGGATGTTACACTACAAAACTATTCAGTTCATAACGAAGAATTGTTCAGAAACGTCAGAACCAGCTCAGACTACAAGGATATATTGTACAGAATGTAGTTTCAGGAGAACATAAAGTATTACATTGTAAAATACACCTTCAGACAGCCAGGATTCATTAGAATAGACTCAGGACACTCTATCAGACATATTATGAGCATCACAGACACTCAAACAGATGTGCTAGTACACATATACTCAGGATACATAGTAAGAATCAAGATATTCAAGCTATAGGATGACAATTACAATCTACAGGATGTAAAACTGTTACAATCTATGTACTACAATAATAGTAAGACACTACTGAGATCAGGAATGGATACACATTGTATGGAACAAAGTACAGAAGTTCAGAGGGCAACTTCAAGCCAGAGAACAGGTTCGGAACCTGGACAATCCACTCAATCTGCTCAATCTGCTTAAACAGATTATTATACTGCTTCAAGGGAAAGTGAAGGCAATACACATACAGCTAGCAAATATCAGAGTAATAGTGAATTAGTAATGATCAAACAGACTATTTGAGCATTCAGGAATGATACTTTAATGATACAGAAGGAAATAGAGTATCAGGAAGCTTAAGGACATCTATTAAACAATGATACAGTTCAATCTACTCTAGGAATGAGTAGTTACAATCAGTTTGAAGTATGAAATCATGCAGAGAACCTCTCCAGACAATACAAATATTTTCTAGGACAGTACTAAACGTTTTACACTGAAAATGAAGTCATATTTTGATGAGAGGGTGAGAGGCACACACATTGTATTACATACACACTCTTTGAGCATACAAGCTACATGTTTGAGTGTACAATTTTCTTACTTGATCTACAATGAAACAATTTTGTGAAGGACTTTGTAGGACCAGACAGTATCAGTACTATAGGAAACAGGACACACAATAGGTACATAAGGAAAGAATACATTGACACAAGGACAAGGACACAGAAAGACAGGAAGTCAGCACTAGAGTACATTGATTCACACATGGATTTGCCAAATGGACAGAGAATTGGCAGCATACACTCAGGACTTCAGGCAGTACTACTGTGTATACAGACAGGACTTTTCATTGAGACATACATGGAACAACACAGTATACAGACAGTTACAGCACTCAGGAAAGTAGAGAATGCTACTTGGACACAGTGTGATAGAACATTACACTATGAGACATTGAAAGTATACTCAGACAATTCAGGAATCGAATCAGTCAACTTACAAAGACATGAATGAGTTGAGACACAAGGAAACAGTATGAGAATACAGTAGGATATTTATTACACACTGAGATACTATGTATATAGACACATATCTAGTAATATTAGGCTCATACCTTACAATCTCATTGAATTTGAGACAATATTTTCATCCAAGGACAAATATTACACTCTAGGTTACACTCTACAATTAGTATTTAGACATTGAGCTCAACAGGATATCCAGTTTTGTATCATAGTTGGTTATTGCAAGCAAAAGAGTACACATTTGGACATATTCTATCAATACGAGTACAAGGCATTACATTTGCAGGAACTAGTCTATTGGAAAAATCAAGAACATAGTAGAGGAATTTTGGAATACATCTCTACTATCTATTATTGTATGACTATTCTACAGGAGCAGAGAAATGCACAAGGTCAGCTAGAAGCCACAACACTAATACATTCTATTGAGGAAGAAGGCTATAGCTTTGTGTTAAGAGGGAGAACTTAAGGGGGGCACGCATAGACAAGGGGTGAGGTGATGATTGACTGCTCAGTGTCTCTCATCCTTATATTGTATGTATTCTAACTGAGACATTATGAAGTCATTGTCTTGTGGTTTGTCTGTTGATGAACTAATCATCTCATAATACTCCCCTTCAAACTCTTACTAGTCCGAGTAAACTGGTAAGATGTTTGACTTGTGGTACATGTAGCACTTTAGTTAATATATCTGCTCGTTGATTGTTCGTCCGTATGTATTTTGCATTTATGTACTCTAACTCAATATAGCATTTAATAAAATCTTTCTTATGATCTAAATGCTTTGTTCGTTCTGAATATTTGAGTTTGTCTGATGTAACTGTTTGTATAACAGCATTGTTATTACAATAGATATTAATTGGTGCATCAGAGACCTGCAGAATCTCTTCAGCTAAATGAGTAAGTGTGATTGCTTCCTGTGTTCCTCTTGCAAGAGCTATTAATTCAGCTTCATACATTGAATTTGCCACCAGTGTTTGTCTTTTACTTGACTACAAAACTAATGAATTGCTCAAGTAAAATACATATCCTAATATTGTACAATGCCCTTCTTGCATCATACTGTCCACGTCTGTATAGCCATTCAATATTGATTGATTTGTGCTGCTGAGTTGGAGCCAGACATTACTCATAGTTTTAAGTACTATGTAACAATGTTTAAGTGCCAGATAATGCTCCATACC